TCTGACAGCGACCCAGTTCCTGTGGTCCACAGCTCTGTGGAAATCAATAGAAAGACTTTACAAGGGGTTGTAGCGATGGGAGATCTGGAGTTGTCAGCCCTGGCCCGGAGACAGATCCTGCTGCTGGGCTTCTTTGAGACAGGTACACTGCACAAGGCCTACCTCCTCTTGGGCTCTGCTTTCTGCTCTTCTCTCTCTCTGCCCTAGAAGCGTACAATCAAAAGACCCCTTCCAAAGTCCCCTACCCAGTGGCTGGCTGCAGACACCTCACTCTAGGGGAGAGTGCAGTGGGAAAGGAAGCCTAGAGGTCTAGGACCCCCACTTTTTAGCAGCATCTTTTCTTGTACCCCAGAAGGCCCCCCCAGACCACCCACCTAGGAGGTGTGTTAAGCTCCACCAACTATGCTCCAGGCACCCTGCCTCTTTCCCTCTGTAGCGTGCAGGGGATCCAACCAGGCTGTCCTTCCTGGCACACTGGGTATGTATGTGCACGTGCGTGGCCCTAGAGCCTTCGGGCTGTAGACTCTGAGCTGACGCCAGGGACTTGCATGCTCTCTTGCCTTCTGTCAGGAATCACTGCCAGTCTCCCTTCCCCCATGGTACCCAGACTCCATATTCCATGTGTACCCTACAATTCCATGTTCCCACTGAGTCCTGATAATTCACAGGGAAACATGACTCTGAGTCCCTAGAAGGTCAGAGCTGCTCTTTTCATGAGAGATGATATTGAAGCAGAGGAAGATGAGCTAAGGCTACCCAAAAAGTCTAACCCATCCAGGCTTGAGAATGGGTCTGAAATGACCTTGGACTGGAAACTGGACCTGGCTCTTAATCCTGGACCCAGAACCATGAGATGGAGCAGTTCCTAGGCACTGAACTTGACCATGAGTTTGTTTAGGATATCAGACCCAGTCCTACAACCTTAGATATTGACCTTGGGTCTAGAATCTGGGCCTAGTCTTTAACCTAAAGTTGGACATAAACTGGAACTGGAGGTGACATATCTTTAACTTGGACTTTGATTTGGACCAAGATCAATATGCCAGGGGCCATGCAGCCACAAAAGACTCAGATGGGGGTGGGGGGCCTGGAGAAATGGCTCAGGGGTTAAGAGCACAGACTGCTCTAACAAAGGACCTGGGCTTGATTTCCAGCACCCACATGGCAGCTAACAAGCGCTCAGAACTCCAGGTCCAGGGGATCTGATGCCTTCTGACTTCCACAGGCATTGCATGACACTGGAGCACTTACATGCAGGCAATACACTCATACACATAAAATTTTAAGAAAAACTCAGACCTGCTGGGTGTCCTTGGGTACCTCCCCAGCCTTCTTTGGGCTCCCTCTGCCAAGGGATTGGGATAGCCTTTTTTGTATCCTCAGATGGACATGTTGAGGTGTGGGGAGGATGTGCTGCAACTGGGTCTGCTTAGCTGAGCTCCCAGGCCTGGCCTGGAGCGACTATTCGGCGCCTTCAGAGGCAGTGAGAGAAAGCAGGAGTGGGTATAATATGGTCAACTAGATAAGCCCATGGGTAGGATAGGAGCAATTCCTCAGCCTGCTTGGGGAGGCTTAATGTAGCTGCAGAGGGCAGACAGCTCTGTTATTGGATCGGCATTGATCCTTGTCTGCTGGGGAGAGTGTGGGGTGGATGGGGCTGGGGTGCAGAGGGTGGGTACTGGCTACCAGCTAGAGGTCAGAGGCAAGTTTGAGGGGAAGCAGATGTTACAGGAGATGTCCTTGGCAGGGGTCCACAGAGACTAGTGATGTGCAGGCGGTATGTAGCTGCTTTCTCTGGAATCCCAGAGTCCCAGCAGAGCTGATGGGCATTGGGGCTGGGAGGGTGGGCTTGGTGGAGTTGGAGGACGAGCTTCTGTGAGGGTTAGGATGGTGAGTTGGTACTTCCCAGAAAGACATATCTGTGCTCAGAGCCACCCTAGTGGCAGAGAGGAAGGGAAGGCTCCCTGGAGGCAGCAAACAAGAGGGCCACAGGGGCCAAGGGGCAGAAGAGGCCTTCTACTGAAGGGCCTGGGGGATTTAGATCTTGTCCCTTTTCTTCTAGAGCTCTGCAGAGACTCAGCCCTGAGCTCTTCCAACTCAGTGATGGGACCCTTCCCTATTTTGAGGTTCTGTGGGTTTGGGGGTCACTCTGGAACTACATATACATGATTTGCTTCCAGCTCTGTCAGGTAGCAGAGGCTGAAAACAAAGGGAGTGGGTGGGGGGGCAGGGAGCAGAATATGTGTGTGTGCATGTAGGCGGGGGTCCTTCAGGAATTCTCTAGCATCCTTAGGCATTTCCAGAGCTGGAGTGTGTGTGGAGGGGGGTGTTCACCTCTTTCTTTTGAGGTCTTGTACCTTTATGTTCCTCTGACCTCTATCTACATTTGCAATGTCCTCACCCCCAGTCTCATCCTGACTCTGTAGCCCTGGCTTCAGGAACGGCTTGTAAGAGGGTCTTTCTAATAACTGGAACTACCTCCAGTCCCCAGCCCTCCCTCCTCCCTCCTCCCTCCTCCCTCTCTCCCTCCCTCTCTCTCCCCACCCCCCACCCCCTTCCTCTCTTTCTCCTTGTTTACCCAGCACACTTACACATGCTGGGAGAGGGGAAAAAAAAAAAAAACGTCAGCTCAGCAATTTTTCACACTTCCCTCAAACGCTCAGCAAGGTTATTTCCGGCAGAGTGGAGACAACAGGCCACCAGGAGCCAGCAGGCTCTCTGAGGACCCTCCAGAATCCCCACCCACCCAGGGAGCCCTCATTACTCAGTCTGGACACACCCCAGGGAGGGAACAGACCCCTGAAAGCAGGACAGAACAGACCTTATGCTTCCTAGTCAGACCCAGTCTTGAAGGGCCGTCCTTCCCGATTTCCCACACTGACCATTCACAGCAGACAAGGCAAGGTGGTCCAGGCAGGGTGCCTGTTTTCCCTTGGTGCAGCCTGCAGAGACCGAATCTGGGAAAATTGCCCTTCTCAGGCAGAGGGTGGATGAAAAGAGTCCCAAGGATACCTTGACAGTGGCTCTCAGTATTTCGTAGGACCCTTGTCCAGGCATCTCCAGTACCTCCCACATCAGTTATCCTTCACAGAAACCAAGCTTGTCAAAGTTGGAAGGATGATAGTTTGTGATATCTAAACTCTTACACTACTGGGGAGGCTGAAGACCAGAGAAGGGAAGGCAGTTGCCCAAGGTCACAGTGCAAGTCACAGATCCAGAGCCAGGCCTCATGAGTTCCAGGCCTGGCATGTGGTTATCAGACAGCCCTGGTTTTTCCACAGACAAAGTTGATCTAGAGCCCTTTGGGAAAGGGACAAAGATGGGATGGTTCTAGGATGCCAAACTTGGTGGGACCTCCACAGAGATACCCTTTCCCCTGCCGTATTTTTCATTCATTCAGAGGCTCATTCCAAAGCCTGTCTGGACTGAATTCAAGGCAAAGCATTCTCTCACCTCCCTCCTGAGGAACAGCCTGCAGTTTTGGCTGTGGTGGGAAATTCTCTGGGATTCTCTGGGTTTCCTGAGCTGGCCCAGGGACAGGATCAGGGGGGCCTTAGGAGAGCTTTGTATCAGCTTCCTGAGGGATCCATACCCCAGACCTGCAGAGACTGTACTTCCCACCAGCTAGCAGCACATGCTCCCCAGCCTTGGCAGAGAGCCCCAGGTCCACCTTCTGTCCTGCTAGCCCTCAGCCCAGCCATCTCCCTAGACTTCTGTCTTCCACCCTGAAGTCCTGGGTCAAGAAAAGACAACACTAGAGGGGGGCACATGTGGGCAGAAGAGGGAAGGGTTCTGTGGATAGCTGAAGGGGTCCACAAGGTGAGGGGCTTTAGCTGTGCCCTTGATCACTGCCTAACTTCTTTGACCTTGATGAGGTCACGGAGCCTTTTGCTCAGCACCCTCTCTTCACCTGGCTTGGCAGAGTGCTGGTACATGGCTGAAGTGCTTGGAAGTCCCCCGGGAGATGCCCCCACCCTCCTAGGCTCCTGTCTTTGCCACCTCAGCTCCCCACTCATGCTCATTCTCAGTGCACTCCTCCCCTCTCCAGTTCTCTCTCTCTCTCTCTCTCTCTCTCTCTCTCCATGTGATGTCAGATGTCTCACTGCCAAAGTGACTCCTCCTCCCCAGACACCTGTCCTGATGGAGCTGTTGAGGAGGGTGCTTTTGTGATACTCCCCTCAGTGGAGGATAGACCCACCAAAGCAGCCTTCTCCTGCTCTCTAGAGGTCACCCCCTTCGGTGCCTGAATGACCCCCTCTTGTCCCCCAAATCCTTGTCTCTGCAAGAACTTACTCTGAGATGTTAGAGATGGAGTGGGGGTGGGGCAGGAGGTGGGGGAGCCTTCAGAGGAGCAGCAGGTTTGGTTCTGGGGGGGGGCGCTGAGAAGCTAGGGGGAGTGCAGCCCGAGGGACCAGGAGCCACTTTAGGAGAAACCCCTTCTAATAATCTCTTCCTTTCAGTCCCCAGGACAAGCTCAGCCTTTGGCAGGCATGTGGCTGAGGGTAACAAAAGAGTTGTTGAGAGGAGGGCCTGAGAGCACTTGTCTGGCACTGCGGGGGGGGGGTAGGGCTGAAGGGAGGTGTTGTGCCCCCGGCTTCCCCGGGGGAGCCAATCTCCTCTTCCCAGCTACCGGTGGTCCTGGCCCCTTACCTTCCACCCGGGCGCGCGCAGGCAGCCAGTCCCTCTCCTTCAAAAGGGAGAGGGTACTTACTCCAAACCGCCCCCGCTAGCCTAAGGGGCGTCCTGTCGGCTCTATCACCCCCTCGCTCCAGCCTGATTCTAGGGCCACAACTTTCGAAGTCCCGACTGGCGCGTGGCTGCGGGATGGGCTGACCCTGCCACTTTCCTTTGTACGACCTAGCCCCAGCCCCGCCCGGCCGGCCCTCGGGAAGTCCGGGAGGAGCACCCGGCCCGGCCCGAGGGAGCTCCTCCGGGGTTCCCCACCGCGGCCCAAGTTGGGGCAGCCCCGAGCTCCCGTCACCGGGGCCGGTCCCACTTACCGGGGTCCCCGGGAGGCCCGCGGGCGCCAGGCAGCACGTAGGCGGTCTCCAAGGGGTGGTAGGTGGGGGCCGACACCCCGCTGCACTGGAAGCCGTCCGCTTTGATCTTCTTCACCAGGAAGGAGCGCGGCATGGTGCGGCAGGCTGGGAACGCGCGGGGCCGGGGGCCGGCTGTGGGCGGCCGGTGCGGGCTTCAGCACTGGACAGCTCCCAGCGGGCGGGCGCCGAGCTGCCCCGGAGGCGGCGGCCGCGGCTAGTGCTCGGGTCCCGCTCGGGCGCGGCGGCGGCGGCGGCGCGCAGACAGCCTGTCGCTGGAGCTGTGCTCAGCACTCTGGCTGCCGGCTTTATATGGGACGCAGGCTGGAGGAGATCAGGTGGTTCCTCCAGCAATGGAACTGTTCAGCGCTCTAATCCATCAAACGTCCCCCAGGACAATCGCTGCCCACACGTTCCCCTGAACCGGCGGCGGTGGGGGCAGGACCGGCGCAGAGCTGCGAGCAGGCAGGAGGGAGAAAGTGAGGGCCAGACAGGCGCAGAGATGGGGAGAGCCCGAGAAAGGGGGAGAGAGCGCGTGTGCGTGCGTGTGTGTGTGTGTGTGTGTGTGCGTGTGTGTATGTGATGGAGAGAGAGACCCAGAGAAGGACAAAAAGACATGAGCGAGAAACAGAAGACGCAGAAAGTGGCGACATGCACTTCCGCACCCACGGGAGGAGAGAAAGGTCAGGACACGCACACACAAAGCCCCCCCACCCTCTGTGGAATGCGAAGAAAGGGAAAGAAAAGTGCGGAACGCAGGGAGAAGCCGAGGGGCGCGAAGGGAGGGCAGCCCGGCGCAGGTGGGGTTCAGGCACATGGGGACTGGGGAGGAGGGTGGAAAGAGAGTGAGCGGGCCAGCCACCACCCTCGGCCCCAGTTCTGAAGTGGCTTGCGGATGTCCAGCTTTAACGAGAGGAAGTCTCCCCGCCCCCAGCTTGGGCTCCCACTAGAGCCCCCTATTGGGTTTGGGGTTCAACTTTCCTCTCCAGAACTGGTGGAGGGAGCGGGTCCCCCACGCTGTTGCCGGCCTCGCTCAGCCGGTCCTGTTCCGGTGCCTAGCTCAGGCAAGCGCTGGGAGAGGAAGTGAAAATCGTCCAGTAATTAATTTCCCTGCTGCCGGGGGGTGGTGGTTTTGACACATCCGAGGCTGTGCCTTTCCCTGAAGCGGGGGAGCAGACAATAGAGACACGTGGTTGGGGGTGGGGGGGAGGGGGAACAGGGCTCCTGCGGGAACTCTTTGCAGGTCAGCTCCTTTGTTTCTGGAAGGATCTAAGCAGACCCCCACCCCCTACCCCAATCCAGTCCAAAGCTGGGGGGAGCACCCATGTCTTAGCAGGACCAAGGAGCTGGAGAGCTCAAGTCTCCTGCTCAGAGGCAGTCTGGCAAAGACTGGGGCAGTGGGCCGGACTCAGTAGGCCTGAGGTGGGTCAGTATGCTTTGGGGTGAGTCTCAGCATTGGCCTCTGGGGATGCTGGGTTCTTTCTGGCCAATGGCATTCGATTATGGATGTAGAACTGGTGAGTGGAGACTTTAGGGACTGGGTCCCCCAATGCCTGTTGTGAGTAGAAGACCCTGAATGGAGGTGCCTGAGGTTAGTCGCACAGTAGGTTAGCAGCAGTTTCCAGCCCCATCAGTGTGCTCTGGGCACCATGAAGTCAGCTATCTTTGGCAGTCTTGGAAGTGTGGCTTAGAATTCTCCCAGTAATAGCCTGGTGTGGTGGCCCACATCTTTAATCCCAGTATTCATGAGGCAGAATCAGGCAGATGTCTATGAGATCCAAGCCAGCCTGGTCTACATAGTGAGTTCCAGGCCATCTAGGGCTACAGGGAGACCCTGTCTCAAAAAGACAAAAAACAAAACAACAACAACAAAAAAAACCTCAACAACAACAACAAAACGAAACAAACAAACTCTTAGGAGTCCCTGCCCATCTTCCTAGTTTGGTCACATTGCTTATATTTTGCCCTTTGGGACTCGTTTCCCCCCCACTCAGTCACTGAGTGTTGAAATGACCGCAGCCCTTAACTCATGCTCCTCCTTCTTGTCCTGTGCTTCAGCCTGCTCCTGGATCTTCAGCCTAACTGCCCTCTCCACCTCTATGTAGGGTGACAAAGTGGCATTCACCAAGAAGGTGAAACCCCAGCTAACCTTGTCCTGATGAGTGGAGACTTCTTGTGAGTAGAAGACCTCAAGACTTAACTGATGGGGCTGGAGAGATGGTTCAGCTGTTAAGAGCACTGGCAACTCTTGCAGAGGACCTGGGTTTAATTTCCATCATCCACATGGCAGCTAACAACTGTCTGTAACTCCAGTTATAGGGGAATCAGAGACTTTCTCTGACCTCTGCACGCATTGCACGAGATGGGTGCACTTACATTTGTGCAGGCATTACACTCATACACACAAAATAATAATTAAAAAAGAGATTTAGCTGAGGCAGCATATCCTTCAGAGGGTGGCCTTAACTTCTATCATTGTAGACCGAGCCAGCTTGCCCATCAGTCTCTGAACCTGTGAGGACAGGACTGTCCTGTATATGGCTCAGCATACTCTGAACAGTGTCTACTAGGGTATCCCAGTTCCCTTACCTACTAGCTATAGAGCCTTGAGAAAGTTGCTCAACTGATGTGTGCCTCAGTGTCCCCATTTATAAACTGGAAACAATACTTGTTGCTATCTCAGGGATTGTTGGGAGCATCACAAGAGTAGTCTCCTGTATATGAAGGACTTAGAATGACTACTGTTTATAAGTGCTCAGTAGCCCAGGTTCTGTGCACACAGTTTTGCCTGCTGCACCCAGCACTCATTTCACACTTATGGAATAGCTCTGAGCTAGACATCTCTGGTGCTCACTGTCTTGGAGCTGACATCTAAGAGACACTGAGCAGGGAGTGGGGAGTGCTTAAGACAATGCTGTTCTTTCAAAGAAGTGTTTGGGGACTAGAAAGATGGCTCATCAGTTAAGAGCACTGGCTGTTCTTGTTGAGGACCAGAGTTTGGTTCCCAACATCCATATGGCAGCTAACAACCATTTGTAACTCCAGTTCTAGGGGATCTGTTGCCCTCTTTTGGCCTCTATGGGAATTTTACACAAAACACTGGCACACATTAAAAAAATTAATCAAGAGGTCTTTGGTGCTAGGAGGGACCTAACAATAGATGACAGAGGTTGCTAGAGACAATGGTCTAGGAGAGGGGACATTTGAGCTAAGATGCAAGACAGACATGGAGGAGCCAGGCAACTAGACCTCTAGGCAGAGGCATCCTAGGTTCAAAGGTTCTGAGGCAGGAAGGAGCTTGAGCTTATTGAGGAATGAGCTAGGAGGAGATGAGGCCAGGAGGGTTGGCAGGGTTGAATTACAGAGGGTACTCACAAAGCCCAGAATGAGTGAGGACCCAGTGCAAGGCAATGACATTCAGCCTGTGACTCAGGCTGCAGTATTTACTAGGTGGCCCTGTTGACAGGATTCCTGTTTAGAAGAAGCTGTCTGCATGATGTGGCCCTTATTTGTGGTGTGGCCATATTCCTGGCTCTGTGCTGGATCTTAGGCTATCTGTCTTCTATGAGTGCCCAGGGCACTGGGGGTTAATAAGACAATCAGGCGCCAGGGGACTCACCACTGCTTGGCGGAAGGTTCCACTGCTCCAGCCTCCTGTCTCAGAATTGAGCCCACATTGCTTACTAAGGGCCCCAAGGATTCATAGCCACTAGGATAGAGATGGACTGGATTCTCCTCCATCAAAACTTCTCATTGGGCAGGACACAGGGTGACCCACCCCTTCACTGACCAGTAAAGGTTCCACAGAAGTGACATATCTCAGTCCACTAGTGTCTGGCTGAGGGTAAGATCCCCAACCTTTGACCTCCCTTGAGAGGTGATTTATACCTTTATCAAATATGATGGTATCTTTTAAAATACTTTACTTATTATTTTTATTTTATATGTATGAGTGCTCTTAACTGCTGCCATCTCTCTAGCCCTGTGATGGTTAGTTTTTCTTGGTCTTTTTTTGAGACAGGGTCTCCCTATAACCCCAGCTGTCCTGGAACTTGCTACGTAGACCAGGCTGGCCTTGAACTCACAGAGATATATCTGCCTCTGTTTTCCCAGTATTGGGATTAAAGTTGGGCACCATCACACCCAGCTGTGATTGTTAGTTTTGTTTTTTTTTTTAAATATTTTATTATTTTTAATGCGTGTATTGCCTGCACATAGGTAAGTGCACCTGTGTCTGGCAGTGCCCACGGAGGACAGAAGAGACTTTGGATCCCCAGGAATTGGTGTTAAGTTGTGGACAGTTGTTAGCTGCCATGTAGGTGCTGGGATTTGAACCCAGGTCTTCTGCAAGAACAGTCAGTGTTCTTAAATTGCTGAGCCATCTCTCCAGCCCTGATGGTTAGTTTTGATCATGATCTTGACACAATCTAGACTCACCTGGGAAGAGAGTCTCAATGAGGGGGCTGTGTAGATCAGGTTGGCCTATGGGCATGTCTGTGAGGAATTTCCTAAATTGCATTAACTGATGTGGGAAAATCCTGAGTTTGGGTCCTGGACTGTATAAAAGTGGAAAAGGAGAGCTAAAGGCACGCATGCATGCATACCTTTCTCTTTCTGCTCTTGACTGTGAAGGTGACTAGCTAGCTGCTTCAAGTGCCTACCTTGACTTCCCAGTAGTGATGGACTGTAACCTGGGATTGTGAGTGAAAATAAACCGTTTCTCCCTAACTTGCTTTTTGTCAGGATATTTTATCACAGCAACAGAAATGAAACTGAGACAGCAGCTAAGAAGACACTTTCAGCGGCTGGAGAGATGGATCAGTGGTTAAGAGCACTGGCTGTGGTTGCTCTTGCAGAAGACTGGGTTCGATTCCCAGTACCCAAATGGCAGCTAACAACCATTCGTAACTCCAATTCCAGGGGAATCCGATGCCCTCTTCTGATCTCCAAGGGCATTGCATAACATGGGTGTTCTTACACACATGCAGGCAAAAAAAAAAAAAGTAGTAAATAAAAAAATAATTTTTAAGAAAAGAAAATACTTTCAGCTGAGGGGATGATGAAATACACTGTGGTGGTCTAGCTTCATCATTAGGACACCAGGAAGAGCCTCCTGTCTCCTGCTATCCCCAACACCGGCTTACAGGGTTCAGAAAGTCCACCGTTAGGTTATCTCCAGGTCACAGCAAACAAGGACACTCTATCTTTCCAAGGGTGTTGGCTGCAGTTCCAGGTCAGAATGAAACCCCCCGCCCCAAGGGTTTTTAGGAAGATGCCCACTCTATGGATAACTACGTGGGGGAAGATCCTGGCTTTATGTTGAGTGAAGTATGCAGAATCCAGAATTCTCTTGCAGCGTGTTCACAGCTGTGACCCCCAAGTCAGAATTAACATGTATGGAAAAGAAAAAGGTGGCTGCTGTGATGGGGAGTGAGTTTTCCTGTTTCTTTTTGTATTTTTCAAAAAGACCATGAAATTATTCAGTCCAACAAACCCTGTTCTTGAGTGTTTCAAACTATTTACTTCTAAATATAAGAAGTAGAGTTTAGTAAACTGTGTTACAATATCCATACCCTCCTTCTGACTTGGAGACAGCATTGCCACAAGGTCACAGTGGGTACCAAATGCCAGCACATCTGTGCTGTGCTCAGAGCAGAGCCTGGCCACAGCCACAGGACAGCATAGCTGGTCTTTGCTTTGCTCATCTTCACTCACCTGAGCCTCAGCAAAGCCTCCTGGGGGAAGGCTGCTACGGGCCTATTCTATAGATCAGGGTGAATGACTAACTTAAAGTCTCATAGTCCTCACACAGAGGAACTGGGGAGGGTCCCATGTTGTAAAGTCTCATAGTCCTCACACAGAGGAACTGGGGAGGGTCCCATGTTGTATTAGGGTTCTCCAAAGAAACAGAACCTTTAGAATGAATATACATATATATGTATAGAGATTTATCAGCTTAGCGCACCTAGGCTCAGCCCTGTGCAAACCATGAATGGACGCAGGGTGCATAAGAGGTCACTGGGTTTTTAAGAGATGGGACCTTAGAGACAGCGTTCGTGGTAAAGATCCCCAAAGGTGACTGTCAAAGTACAGTTCTGTCTGGCCCTTACAAGTAGCAGTGTTTCTGCGGTCTTCTCATTGGAGCAGCAATGTGCCTGCCAAGGTGGTCAAGGTCTTCGTGCTGCCTCGGACCAGTATTCTTCCAGAAAAGGGGTCAGTGCTAGGTGCTGGGTACTCTCTGAGTCGGCAGACATTTTTCTTTGCTTCTCCTTCTGCCCATCTCAAGCACTTGTTCTGGCCTTCTGCCCTCTTGGAAATCTGAAATAAACAACGTTGTGAGTAAATATGAAAAGGTATTCCCTTGCCTCCTACCGTATAATCGACCACCCCTTCGCCATGGCCTGTCCTAAAAAACATCACCTCTGTATCCCTCTTTCATCCAGGATGTTGGGGTTCAACATGGAAGGTCCTGTCACTGTCCCATCCATATGAGGCTGGACTAAGGCTTTGTCCCTTGATTATGAGTGGTTCCAGGGGTTTCTCTTGTCCCCATGCTGTGGCCCAACATGCCTTGGAGGCCACAAAGTAGCAGCAGCAACATTGTTTCTGATAAGTGCAGAAAGGTAAATACTTCAGACCTTTCTGGGAGATACTGATGAAAGTAAGCTAAGCAAGGGATCCTAGAGTGTGGGTCCAGCAGGGGGATGCTGAGTTCATCATGATCCTATCTGAGGGTCTCTGGGTTCATTCAGTAGGTGGAAATTTCTCAGGAAACCATGGCGCACAGAGAGGAAAGCCGTGACTATCAGGGGAGGGCGTCTCAGTGGTTGTCCCTCCCACAGTTCCCTGCTCTCTGCCATACCTGGTGCCGGCCCCGTCTCTGGATTCAAATGACAAACACTTCAGATTTCATGTGGGATCCACTCAAAGGACAGTTGAGCTCACCTTGAAGGTGGCTGGCTGTGCTGGTGAAGTGTGGGCACTAGACATGCAGCCTTCACACAGCTCCCGTGAAGCAGTAGTAGTGTGAGAACTGTCGGAGGCGGGAGTGCAGACAGGAGCTAGCTGAGTTGTTGGGACATGGAAGCGTTACCAAGAGGGGGAGTCACATGAAATATGAAATTACCTTGTTTCAAAATGTGAGTCTTCTCCATTTCAACAAATCTTCAGTACTGTCAAGTTGGGACCAGCCACATAGGGAGGAGGTGGAGCCGTTCCTGTGTGTGTGGAGGGGGATCATCCAGATACAAGTATTGAAAGTCAAGATGACTCATGGTGCAAAGTCAGACAGGCCCAGTGATTGGTACTGGGGTGAGCTGTAGGGGTCTATGGATCTGGGGGTGGGGGACTGTGCAGTAGCCAGAACACTCCTGAGGGTTGCCCCATAGCCAATGGACTCACCTGTCCCTGTCCACTCTACCTTCCCACCTGGGCTCCAGATGGATCCTCCTGCATCTCCGGCCTCCCTTGCTGTCTCCAACCTGATCAGCAACTTATAGCTAGGACATACACAAGGAAACAGGTCAGGCCCAGGGTGGTCTTTGGTGTCCAGTGCCACTGTCTCCTCCAATGGCCCAGAGGCCCATCTGGAGGCTGGCAGCTTATCTGAGGAACTCACTGTGCATTTAAGTCCTGTGGAACTTTGTGGTATTCTCCAGTTTCCATGTTCATCACCAGTATTCTGTGATCTTTCTTTCAGGGTTTCTGAGTGCTTCAGAGTGATTCTTTGGCAGGAAGCCATTCCGGAGTGACTGGCCTTCATAGAACTGCCTCGGGAATGTCAGAAGAAAACTGGACTCAGGCTCTTTCCATCTTCCCTCACTCCTCAGGGTCCTAGCTGACCTGAGAAGGATGGAACCCTTCCCTCCTTCCGCCGCAGACATGGGGGCATTTTCTGCTTACTGTTGGCTAGGGATGTGGACACAGACACCCATTGGCACACAGCCACTTGGAATTCCTATCCCGCTCTCTCCTTGGGTGTCTGCGTCTAGGCCAAGCTGCTCCCCACTTTCTAGCTCTCTAGGATCAGCCTCCTGCAAGTTCAGTGACTCCCACATCACTTGAAACAGACATGATAAAACTAGTCTCTCACCCCGGGCTTCCTCACTGGTGAGGCAGGTGACAGACATATCAAAGGAAGCCTTGCTGCTCTCTGGGTCAGGAGTACAGTCTCTAGTCACATCTTTGATTTGCCCAGAGGAGGATTTTGCAGATGTGAACTCTGAAGATGAGCAAGTCCATAGTGAACTCTTGGTGGTACTGCTCTGAGCGGCTCCTGGAGGGCTGCTTATGACGTGAGCCATGTGGACTTCCCGTGGGAGTGCTGTCCAGCGCAGGTCCTCTTCAGGAGGGATAACTTGTCGTCCTGACTCCTCTTCAATAAATACAGGGTGAAAGGCATTCTTCAGCTCTGGCCACCTTTTTCTCTTCTCCATGACACTCAGGTCGAGCGGACAAAGTAAACATGGGGAGACTAGGGGCACTGGATGCCCTACTTAGAGGGAAAGAAGTGCAGGGGTCATGGCACTACTCTGCCAATTACACATTAAAAGTTCCAGAATGTGTGACTGCATGGGCTGGAGCAAAGTGGAAACCACCCATGCTGGCTTGCCATGGCTCCTATGTAGCAGTAGAGGAGGTTGTGTGAGTTTAGAAGGCAAGAGCAAGGTGCATTCTTGGGTCATGAGGGCAATTCCGAGAGGGGCGGTCACATATGTATTCACCTGTTTCAATGGGGGCACCTTACCAAGTCAACAAATCTTCACTAGTGTCAACTGTGGACTTGGCACACAGAAGACAGGAGTGTGTATTTGTGTATTCATCCAGATATAAAAATGAGAGTGCAGTTGAGATGACGCAGGGTGAAAAGTATGAGGTCAGGAGCTGGTGCTGGGGTGGGCTGTGAGGCTCTCTGGATCTGGGACAGTGCTGCCTAGTAGTCAGGATACTGCTGAGTTCTTTAGCACAGCCAGTAATCACTCATCTGACCCTGTCCACTCTACTTTCCCACCTGGGCTTTTGATTCACCTTCCAGGCATCAGTGTTCTGTTGCTGTCAGCAAATTACAGCAAGAAACACACAATCCAACAGGTTAGGCCCAGTGTGGTCTTCTGTGTCCTGATCCTCTGTCCCTCCTAATGACCCATAGACTCATCTGGAGGCTTGCGGCAGAGATGAGGTTCTCACTGTGCATCTAAGGTCCCATGCACCTTTGGGATTGTCCTTGGAGTTTGCCTGATGATCACCAGCATTCTGTGGATCTCGCTTCTCAGGGTCTCAGAGTCCTGCAGCGTGTTTCATCAAGGAGCTGCCTGTTGGGGAGGGTTAGGTAGATGTTGAGGTCAGAGCTGGCACCCAGAATCTTCCCTCACTCCTCTGGATGCCGGCTGACCTGCAGTGTGGGACTCCCTCATTACTTCCTCTACATGCACATAGGTGCTTTGCCCTTACATTAGCTAGTGATGTTTACACAGCTTCCCACTGGAACACCGAAACCTGGAATTCCTACCGTGGCTCTCTCCTGTGGCTGTCTGCATCCATGCCAGGCTGCAATCTACTCTCGGGTGTTAGCCTCCAGGGAGTTCAGTGATTTCCACAGCACTAGAAAACAGAATAAAGTGAGTCTCTTAGTGGTGATAGGCACGATAATACTTGACTGTGCTGGCCCTGTGTTGGGATGATTCCTCAAGAATGATCCACTGGTCCCTTTCAGCAACTCTCTCCTCCATCCTTCTCCACCCTCAGATTGCCATCCTCTGCTATCTACATCTAGTACAAAGTTCTCAGGATTCTCAATAGGAGGACAGATAGTATGTTATTTGCTTTCTGTGATGATAGATGTAATGTCACCTAACCCCTCAAATGTGTATATTCAGAATGTGTTAACTGAAGAGGACATTATTAACAGCATGCATAAAGAGAATGCAGAAGTGCATCTGACCATCCCACCTACTTGTTTCACTGAGGTCTCCGTGGTCCTCACTCACTGCCAAGATTTTACCCCTGGCCAGGGGTGGTTTCCTTTAGGCAGAGAGGTGTGGTCTCTTTGGGGGTGGGAGGCAGTAGCATGAACTGAGGAAGAGGTTTTTAATCCTACCCACCAGGCCTTCCCAGCCCACATTATGCTTTTTTCAAGGGGCTCTGGGCATGCTCTGGGGCTGGCCACTGAAGTCTCCTCAGCTGTTTCCAGGGCGGATCATCTGCCGCTTGTGTCTTTTGTGCTGGGGCTTTCGCTCTTGGCTCCCTCACTGGGCAAGGCAGGTGATGTGTCCCAGGAACATTTTCTGCTGTCTGAGTTAGACGTGCAGTCTGTGTTCACATCTTGGGTTTGCTGGGGGCGGGGGGTTGCAGATATGAACTCTGAAAGTATGGAAGTTTTGATGAATTTTTGGAGGTTTTGCTGCTCGAAGCCTCTTTGGAAGTTCTGCTCATGGAGCCATGAGATTATGCTGAAGGTTCGTTTGTTCGGTGCGGGTTCTCCTCAGGAGGGTTGGCTTGTCAGCCTGGGTCCTCTTCAGGGAAGACAGTTTGGGTGGCAGTTTTTGTCTCGGGCCATGTTCTCATCTACCAGAGAAAA